ATAAAAGAAATGAAGATCTGCTTCTGTAGTGCGGCTGCTACCCCCTCCTCTGTTTCAGACATATGGCCAAACAGGGCTAACATGTGATGTGTCCATGCTCACATCACACCATGTTCCAGAATGATATCAGCTGAATGGTTATACTCTGAGTCTGGAACAGATATGAATGTGTTTCTGAGTATAGATTCAAAGTGTTCAAGAAATTGGGAATAAAATCAATTCAATCAGTGCAATTTCTTAGGAAAGCTGTTATGGTCGGAATATTATTTTGGATCATTCTGTACCACTTCCTTGCATGCTTGTGTGATTGTAAGGATCACACACGCATGGTCCCATAGGAATGTAATAGTGTTTCCCAATAAGCCAGGCCTGGGCAAACCTATTGGCTGTTACAAATTGTGGGAGTTGAATCCAAAACACCTGGAGGGCCAAAGTTTGCCCAGGCCTGCTATAAACTATGTGCTCGGCTTCTTTTTACCACTTGAAAAAAGTGTGCCAGAGGATGCCACAACATTCAGTTCCCATACTGCTACCTACCTTTCTTGGTATTGGTATGACATATTTATTGTATGGGGTAGAATTGCAAAATAATGCATGTTTACTTGCCCTTTAGAATGTCAGTGTTAATGATACAAAAGCTAATAACATGGGGAAAATCAACAACAGTAACAAAATCACACTCTGGAGTTTTGTATTTTGTTCTCAGAACTTTCTGTTTCCCAAGAAGCTCAGTTTCAGAATAACTGATCTATGAAACATGTAGGACAAACAGATTCAGGTAGTCAAGAGCTGTGTATGGTTTTCTGTGAATCTCATTTGATTTCCCAGTGAAACACGTTTTCTTTCTTGAAGATTGTGCCCATTTTTATTGAGTTAGGCCTAGGATCCTCTGCTTGAAGTTCAGAGCTACTTGGACTCTGGGATATAAAAAGAGATGGTTTTAGCTAGTTTTGTCTCATGGCTTATATATGTTAGATCTACTGTGGAATGAAAACCGTGACTTTATCGGAGCCTAAAGTGCTGGTGAAGTTGATATGATGCAGAGAAACCGTCCCGTATTTCTCATTCCATCTTGATAAATAGATAAGTCCTCGGCCATTCTTAAAGCCCGGGGCTTTTAGCTACTTAATAATCTGCTTTTCTTGTTAAATAATATTTCCTTTTATGGACAAAGAGCAATGTTTGATTTGTGTTCCAGAGACTTTCCTGAGTTTTATATCAAAGATTTCAAGACTACAGGGTAGAAATGCTGTTGCTGTGCTTGAAAATACCTTTCTGTGTCTTTCAGACTGCTGGCAGAGAATTGCTATGAGTGGGACTGTGGTTAATCATTGCCACCTGGGGAAAGCTCCTTCTATAGTTCCTTTCTAACAAGCCTATATGCATTTTTTTTTGTCTTTTTGGGATATAGAGAGAAGGACAGAAGACAACCTCATAGTTCCTTCAACACAGTTTGCCTTTCACATGTGAATGATGTGCGGAAGGGCTGAAACAAGTGGGGAACCTTTAGCCAGGTGTTTTGACTTTCAACTCTTAGAAGCTTTAACCAAGTCTTTTGCCCATCCCTCAATGTTGTATAACTCTGAGCTTTGGAAGACTGTAGCTCTTTCCAGCCTCACAATTAATACCTGAGGATGAATATCCGAGGAAAGAAATTGTTTGTTAGAACTCTATGAACGAAGGTGTCCCTGGGTCCTGGAACATTGCTTTATTTGGATTCAATGTATTAATGGAGTTTCCTCATGCAAAGCTTCTTCACCTCAGGCATCCATCCTTATTCATGGACAAAGTGAACCAGGGTTGGGAGGAGCTGCTGTGTAGTATCCACAATGTGGCTAATTGCATGGCCTTAAAGCCTGCATGCATTGCTCACATGAAGACATTTACTTTGAAGTGGTTTCACTTCAGTAACTGTGGTCCAGGAAATGGTGGAAGTGTGGGGGGAAAGCAGAGAAGGCAAGTGGAATTGTATACAAACTCTAACCACATTCCTAGAAGAAAAACGTGATATGGCTGTAATGACTGAGTTAGGTTGTTGTACGTGTTATAGAAGTCACCCACTTAACTAGCTTGCCAATTAGTTTTCTTCAATGACCATTGAAAAAAAAATAAAAGTACCTAGTTATAGTGTGAAAAAGTTTATATATGTTCTCACCTGCCCTCCATGTCCCACATAGCCTTACTAACCCCCAATATTTCTGATCACATATGAGCATTCATCAGGAGCAGGTCACTTCAAAATATATGTTAAGCATCCACCCTAAAATTTCTGAGTTTTAAAAACTTTGGACCTTGCTGAACCTTGCCACCTTTTACTGAAATATCTTTCCTGCTTCTGAAACTTGGAATTGGTTTTTTCCTGTGTATATTATTAGGATTTCTATTCAGAGGTGCATACTCTAGCCGACCCAGTGAACTGCTTCTATAAACAAACATCAATCTGGAGTGGTCTGTTTCTTTAAAATATACCACTTTAGGAGCTGAAATTACTGCTGGCGAACTTATCTCAGTGCTTATCCAAATAGACACTAATTATTAGTGCTGTGTCCATAGCTATATTTTATAGAGTCATGTTGTTTACTGAGATTTACAATGTGGTCATTGTAAAATAAGCCAATTCCTCATTCATTTACATTTGTTTTTAGTGTTGCTCATGACTCAAATTGAAAGTTAGTCTCACTCCATTTCATTGCCCTTTCCTTATAAAGATACACCCAGAGTGTTTTTCTTCTTACTCTTTCATCTTTCTATGCTTGGCTAATTGGTTAATATGGCCATGAGCATCATCACTGCGGCATGTGAAAGCCATGTGAAAAGGGTGCTATAAAATATGCTAGAATAAGAAATGTTCTCCCTGGATCCCAATGTATTGAAAGGAGAAATACAAAAAAGGATACGCAGAACAAAATACAATGGCATCAACTGACCTTCTCAACATTTCCACGAAATTGAAAGATAATCCTTGCCTCCTTTTTTGCCCAACTGGAGTACATTTCATGGATGCACCATGTCAGGAAATGTTCAGATTTTAGAACAATGAAAGTATTAAACCTGAAAGTTGTGGTTTGCTTAAGAATGCCCTACTTACAGCCCCACTTCTATCCAAGCTGACTGAGCAGGTGGCAAAGAGGTAGTAAAGAAGTGAACAATGGCTGCCTAACTAGTATTAAAAACTACAAAGCTTTCTTTTTTCATTTTTACTCTACTAGCATACAATAGTTACATGGCATAAATGTCTTCCTCTGAGTGCCTGCCTTCACTGCTCAGATGTTCCATTAGTGACCCTAATTGCAGTGGTACATCAGCTAAAAGAGTCATAGGCTATGGGCAATTTTATGTAAAAAGCATTGTTCCTTCTAGATGGAAAGAAAGAAAAAATGGCTGCTGTCACCAAATCCTCCTTCCCACCAAATCAGAAGGAATTTCTATTTAACTCCAACCATTGTTTCCAATATTGCACATCCTTATATTTCCTCAAATTGATATTAATATACCCTTACCTTGTAAAACACTTGTGTCTCTATTCTCTGCAGTTCAGAAGAGTTTTCATTTCGCATATTGCACTTATTCCAGCTTTTTCTTGTTTTTAAAATATATATACTCATTTGCATCTTTTGAAGATATAAAAGATGCTCTTTTATTGCATTGCATTGTGTCTTTCTAGCCAAAATATGCATGATAAGTTGGTATGTATGCACTGGGAATTTGGCTTTGTTTCTTTGCTGCTGCCTTTATTGTGGATAACGGATTATGACCTGTTAGGATCACTGATCATCGGGGTATAGATCTTAAACTGTTAGGATCACAACCTAATTGGGATAGCAGAGTTTATTTAGTAATTGATGATCACTGGGCATGCAGATATTTTGTTTCTGTTTGGTGCTTTCAGCAGAGAATGATGCAAGCAGACTTCTTTTTAAAGATAACAAGATTGTTTACTGATAATGTCATGTATTTAAAGATACAGGCACATTTCTTGTCAAAGGTTAAATACTTCAGTAACGTTTCAGAGGGTTTGGATCTTGAACTTTTAATAATAATAATAATAATAATAATAATTATTATTATTATTATTATTATTATATTTTATTTTTTACCCCGCCTCCATCTCCCTGAAGGGACTCGGGGCGGCTTACATGGGGCCAAGTATAATCAATAAAGTTAAAAAACATAGTACATTAAAATGCATGACATCAATTAAAAACAGCATTAAAACAACATTATAACAATATATGAAACATGCACCAAAAACAACAACAATAGCATAATTCAAGTCTCAATATGAGTGGGTGGACTGGTTGGTGCACAACATTTCAGAGGATAGGGCTAGTGAGTAAAGTGCATAGGTCGTATAGCAGCATTAAGGATAAGAACAATACAGTAGGGTCATTCTAACTTTGGATACAGCACTAGTAAAGTGTGTGGCCAGGATTTTGAATCCTAGGTGGAGCCAGGTATCAAGGGAATGGTCTAGTCAAATGCACAGTTTCTTTATAAACCATATTGCTTTATACTGCACTCTTTAGCAAGAGTTATCTTGCTACGTTATATTAGGACAAAAGAAAGAAAGTACCTCCATAGCAAAAACTGAAAGATTGTTTGGCATGATTTGTTTTTGTTTTGGCTGGTGTGTGTTTGTGGGGGGAGGGGGGGAGAGAATGGGACCAGCATAAAGAGTGACTGAAATATGGGGAATGTGCTATTCCCATCATTTGTTTCTGAATGTTGAGAGCTTGATCTCCATTAATTGGGCCTGTTTTTGAGATAATTGTGCAATGTATTATAGTTGCATTTTTTTAAAAAATTCAATCAGTTTTACTCTGACTACTTCTCATTTAAAAAACTATTTAATCAATGTTAATATTTTAAAATTATAATTATATAATTTAAAATTATAGTGGTTATTTATTGTCTTAAACTGACTTTATAGTTTCCCCAAGATCTTAGCATATAAATATTTTAATAACTAACTCCCTCTATTCCCTACTTGTTCACTACAGGACAATAAGAACCTGTATGTTGCTGTTGTAGCACTGCTTCAGCCTGTCTACTGAAAAAGAACAAGTATTGAACTGAAAACCTGAATTACCTAGCACATAAGACTAAGGTAAGTAATTCTTACCTTTAACACTCAAAGATGATATAACACAATTATGGCAGGTTAAAAACTTGCCACATCATCCTGTCTGTCCTGTAGTCATACTGATCTTTAATCATGATTGGATCATTACTTTTCAATGATGGCAAAAAAAAAACCTGTCGATTAATCCAATATTGCTATTTTTCCCTCACTATTTATTCTGCAGTCCCAATATTGCCCATGAAAGTCTCACAAGAATGCCCAAGCTGAGCAACTGCACAGTTTTGGTAGAATACAGGGAAAAAGGAAAATAGAAAAAGAACACAGTGCTAAACATGGGTAGAAAGCAAGGCTGTATAGAAAAATGATAGAAGCAGTTTGCATCAGCAAAATGCTGGCATTGTGCTATTGAGGTGAAGTGTGCAAATGATCATTCCATTAATGCTTAAAGAAAGTGATTGTGATGAGACAACAGATTGCTGTGATAAAGTCCCAAGTCTGCATCAGACTGGTTTCACTTTTGGTATTTCACTTCAAAAGTTAATAGGGAAAATTGATTCTATTTTTATATTTAGTAAAATATATGTCTGTTCTTAATTAAAGTACATATAATTTCAATAAAGCAAGGGACCACATCTACCACAGGAAGGCTAAAAGAGTAGTTCTTTAGTGGTTATAAATGCATTTCAACTTCCATAATCTTAATCCTTATTATTGAAAACTTTGGTTTTAATACTGAAGATTAAGAAGGTTTAAAAGGATCAAAGAAAGTACAACAAGAGAGTTCTATTTAAGTTCCAAGTTCTTATCCAACATTGGATAGCAGATCTGCTGGTGTTGGCTTCTGATGAGCTTCTAGAATGACAAAATTAGCTAATATACTCACAATAGCAGAACATGTTACACTTTCTGCAAGAGTATTTCTCAACCTTTGGTCCTCCAAATGTTGGCCTTCAGTTCCCAGTGTCTATTCCCCATTATCCATACTGACTGGGGCTTCTGGGGAACCAGAAATTGAGAACCACAGGTGTCAAACATTGTGTGTATATCTATATGTATCTTCAAATTGCCATTCAATATATATGTCCCTTCAAATTTCAAAGAGTTTTCTTAAGCAAAGAATACTCAGATGTGGGTTTGCCTTCTCCTTCCTTTGAAATATAGCTTTTAGCACCTAATATTTCTTGGCAGCCTCTCATCCAAGTACAATACATATTACTTCCCATGAAAATTATCTACATTAATTCACATATACATATAGTTGTTGTTATTATTTATACCTTGTGCAATATTTATTATTGTTGTACAAGGAATAAATAATAACAATAACAACAGTAAGGTTTACAGTTATAATGTATAAAAAAACCACAAACAATGTTATAAACTTGACATTATACTAAATTTCCTTTGATCAGAAGCTGGGCACTTGAAGTGCCTCTGGTGCCACTGTGAGAAGGTCCTCTATTGTGCATGTTGCAGGACTCAGAGTGCATTGTAGTAGGTGGTCTGTGGTTTGCTTTTCTCTGCACACACATGTCCTGGACTCCACTTTGTAGTCCCATTTCTTAAGATTGGCTCTGCATCTCATGGTGCAAGAACGCAGTCTGTTCAGCACCTACCAAGCCTTCTGTGTGCCCAGGAGGGAATTTCTCATTCAGTTTCAGCCACTGATAGAGATCCTAGGTTTTCGCCTGCCACTTTTGGACTCTCGCTTGCTGACGTGTTCCAGCGAGTGTCTCTGTAGCTTAAGATAAAGATAAATGGCTTTTTATTTCTTGAGGTAAGATGTTGGCATGCTGGCTGATATCCAAACAGAGGATGGGTCAGAGATGTCCTTTCATGCAGTGGTGTTGGGCATAGACATCCTGTGATAATGTGGCATGTCTCATTAATAGCCACACAGAGGCAATTTAACTTTCCAGCTTTCCGGCTTCATGACGGTATGCTTGCTTCCGGCCACAGGGGGAGATGTCACTTTATCGTCCACTTGTGACACTGAGTCCTTGATGGAGTGCTTCCTCATTCTTATGCACACTGCTGGAAGGTTTTATGGTGTCATAAATTAGTTAAATTAGCCTCCCTGCATAAAGCAGTACCTAAATTTCCTACTTGACAGATGCAGCTGTCTTTCAGGCTGCATAAGTCAATAGCAAGCTAGACTATTAATGGTCGGGAGCTTATTCTGACCCGGGCTGTCTTCGAACTCATGACCTCTCGGTCAGTAGTGATTAAATGCAGCTGACTACTAACTACCTGCACCACAGCCTATAACCTACTTTTCTTCCAATAAATAGGAAATGGCTTAACATGTATTCTATATAAGGAGGTGGTGATTTATTATTATTATTATTATTATTATTATTATTATTATTATTTATTATTTGCACTTATTGACCGCCACTCTCAGCCCGGAGGCGACTCGTGGCGGTGTACAGAACATAAAACATATAGACAACAATTACAGTAATCAAGTCCATAACACAACATCTTACTAACACACAACTACTTAAACTAAAAATCCGCTTCGTCTTGTTTGGGTCATAATCAGTCTCGTAGTCATAGTCCATTCCGGTGGTCATTCCAAAGCATAGCACTTAATTGAAGGCCTTTTCAAAGAGCCAGGTTTTCAGGCCCTTGCGAAAGGCCATGAGGGAAGGCGCCTGTCTAATTTCAGCGGGGAGGGAGTTCCACAGCCGGGGGGCCACCACCGAGAAGGCCCGCTCTCTAGTCCCCGCCAAACGTGCCTGTGAGGCAGGCGGGACCGAGAGAAGGGCCTCCCCGGATGATCTCAAGGTCCTCGTGGGCTCGTAGGCCGAGATGCGGTCTGAAAGGTATTTTGGGCCGGAACGTTTAGGGCTTTGTAGGCCAACACCAGCACCTTGAATTGGGCCCGGTAGCAGATCGGCAGCCAGTGGAGCTGGGACAGCAAGGGCGTTGTGTGCTCCCTGCGTCCCGCTCCGTTAGTAACATGGCTGCCGCGCGCTGGACTAGCTAAAGCTTCCGGGCCGTCTTCAAGGGCAGCCCCACGTAGAGAGCGTTGCATAGTCAAGGCGGGATGTGACCAAAGCGTGGACCACCGTGGCCAAGTCAGACTTCCCAAGGTACGGGCGCAGCTGGCGCACGAGCCGAAGCTGTGCGAAAGCTCCCCTGACCACCGCTGAGACCTGGGGCTCCAGGCTCAGCGATGAATCAAGGAGAACCCCCAAGCTGCGAACCTGTGCCTTCAAGGGGAGTGCGACCCCGTCCAGCACAGGCTGTAACCCTATACCCTGTTCGGCCTTATATATAGAAAACTGCGCCTTCAAGGGGAGTGCGACCCCATCCAGCACAGGCTGTAACCCTATACCCTGTTCGGCCTTGCGACTGACCAGGAGGACCTCTGTCTTGTCTGGATTTAATTTCAGTTTGTTCGCCCTCATCCAGACCGTCACAGCGGCCAGGCACCGGTTCAGGACTTCGACAGCCTCCTTAGTAGCAGGTGGAAAGGAGTGACAGAGTTGGACGTCATCTGGATTTAAACCAAGTCCAACCAAGTCCAATGTGTGTCCAGCACAGTGGGTGGGGCCAGTTATTTGTTGGGACAGCCCCATGGTTGCCATGGCAGACATGAAGTCCTGAGCCGCTCCTGTGAGGGTCGCCTCGGCATGGATGTTGAAGTCCCCCAGCACAAGAAGCCGTTGAGACTCCAACGCCAGGCTCGAGACCACCCCCGCTAGCTCAGGTAGGGAGACTGTAGTGCAGCGAGGTGGACGGTACACTAACAGAATCCCTATTCTGTCCCGGTCACCCACCCTCAGGTGGACGCATTCAAAATTTGTGGTCTGCGGGATGGGACTCCTGGTCAGATGGATGGAATCTCTATAGACCACTGCGACCCCGCCTCCCCGTCCTCCGGCTCTTGGTTGGTGTTGCACGGAGAAACCTGGAGGACAAAGCTGGGAGGGGTTTACGCCCCCCGCTTCATCCAGCCAGGTCTCCGTGATGCACGCCAGATCTGCCCGCTCATCCAGGATTATCCTGGATAAAGGTCGTTTTTCCGTTGACAGATCTGGCGTTCAACAGCACCACCTTCAATCCAGAGGGCCCGCTCACCTGGTTACACCAATTTACCTTAGGAGACCGGTTTGGAATTATTAATGTAGATAAGCGGTCCGAATTAGGCCGAATTAAAGGTCTCCTTTTCCCGCATCTCCTCCTTCCCACCACGACCTCTATGGGGACCCCTCGGCTCGTGGAACACCTCCCTCCCTCCATGCCGCAATCTAACGCCAGGATCTTACTTACTACTTTATTCGTTACTTGATTTTCCGGTCTTTGACAGTCTCCTTTCTTCCCCACAGCCCCCCTCCCCACCTCATTTTCATTTATGGGGTCCAACCTACTCCCCCCCCTGTCCCTCACACTATACAATAGGAGAAAGAATAGCACACAGAGGGGGATGGGGGACCACATAGATAACACGATACAAGGCGGTGTTAGATGTTCTGGCCACACCACTAGAATAGTTCATAAAGTGCACAATAAAGAGCTGGATCTAAAGTGTAATCGCTACAATCATTTAAAGTGCAGTAGCTAAAAGTGCAATAACTAAAGTGCGGCACGGAGGGGTCTAGGAAGGGGCGAAAGTGCTAGTGCGGTAGCGGCACAGGCAGGCGCCTTAAAGTGCTTTCTTACATAAAGTGCTATATCCGATGGTCTATAATCACCCTCCTATGGGTTGAGATGATGTCAGGCTAGCTCAATGCTATTATGACCCAGATGGAAACTCAAGACAGTTGGACTGAAGCGGATGGGCTTCCGGAGATAGTAACTCGGTAGAGTGTGGGGCCAGCTCTTCTTCCAGGTTATCTTTTTAAAATTTATCTTTTTTTCTTTTCCGATTTACTGTATTCTATATCAAATTGTGTACTTATAAAAGTGCATGAGCTCTGTTGCATTATCTTTACAAATTACAAATACCAATATACCCGAGACAAGTATCAGCTCATTATGTTTTCAAGCTTTTCCATACTTCGAGTGACTACCTC